ACTCCGGCCCAGGAGTCTTCCTGGGCCGAACTCCTTTCATGATGTCACTGGAGGGTGGCGGCCTCACCGCCAAGAAGAAGTTCGACCTTCTCAGCATGAGGACAGGCAAGTGAGGGCGATCTGCACCCGTCTCTCAATAATAAGTCATTGCTAGCGAATCCAGAGCCATCGGCTCTAAAGCTGTCTGCCTGTTCTAGGCCAAATGCAAGAGCATTCAGGTGCTTCAGCATCACTTATCTCCATGGCCAGCTGTGGGCTCACTGATCTCCAGAGCAGTGCAGGCATGCCATTTGCTTCCACAGCGAAGCTCGGCAGCCGGAATTTCCTAGAATTCTGAATGCTCCCGTGCACAGACTCCCTGGCTGACAGATAGTGGGAGTGCCAGGCGTGCATTTACGACAGCAGCTTTTGAAGTTTAGCGCCTCTTCCTGCGATGAAAGAAGCTAGCTGACTCTGCCTGTGACTGGTACTGTTGCGCAACATACACCTGCCAAGCCTGCACATTGTTGCGTACAGCTGAGGCCATACGGATTGCGCAGTTTGCGCTGAGAACGTGCCAGCCAAAGACTACCGTTGTACAGGAGAATGCGCAGTCAATTCAGCTGACAAAGCAAGACGTCTCAGAATCAGGCATTGGGAAGTGCTTGGAATGGAGCAAAGGGCTTCCCACCTAGCGGCGTGCTGCTATGACAGCCTGTTTCACATAGCAACAAACGCGATAGCCTCACATAGCGCCTCGCATGTCTGGCGGGGCCATCAACGATGGCCAGGAGATGATACGCAAGTGAAGAAGTCAGTGCGCTCAGGCCATGCTGAAATTGAGAACTGCATCAGCCATCTGCGTGGTCAAGCTGGTGTGGGCCGCCGCCCTGGCATTTGGTATCTTGCAAACCCCATCCCGTGGCTATGCAAGAGTTTAAGTCGCAGGTGAGCGAGCTTGGATTCTGCCGCTCCATGGCTCGATGTCTGTTCAGCAGCAACAGCGCGTCTTCAAGAGAGCACCTGCGGCCCGGCGTTTCTAGATGCGGCCTTCAATGCACTTTGCATGACCTAGCAGACCACAGGAGTAGCTCAAGGCTCCGCTGTTCCATTCACATGCAAGAGGTTCACTATTGAAGCTGCTAATCGAATGCTTATGAGCTCGTGCAAGTAGTGAGATGGAGATTGAGACATCTTATGGTTTAATACATGCATACACAGCACACGCTTCGTGCAGACAACGGTTAAGTCTTGCGGGACTAACTGACTCAGGCAGGCCAGCGCAAAATCATCGCCAGAGCCTTGGGGTGCCTGACCAGGTCAACGAAATGTGCAGGATCCTCTAATCAGAGGGTCCTCTTTGGGGAGTCCCTAGAATAAGGAGTATGTTCAAGATACATTGGGGCATATATTGGGCCCCCTGTTTACATGAACTACCAAATGGGGTACTCCAGGAAATTATCATATCTTGGCAAAGACCCACATGTTGGATTTGGCGCTTTTTGATCCTCAAGCAGCCTTGGCAATTTTAGACGCGATAGCTTGACAAAACTTTCAGCTTACCCACGTTGCGTTTCACGTGCTGGAGGGTCATGCGTGTCCTGGCGTATGTGAAGCCCTTAACATTACTAGCCAACAGTACTTATCAGCCGTTGAGTCAGTGACTCAAGAGAAGGTAGGTCTGTAGGTAGCATGGACAGCGCTGCGATCGGCCTCTTCTATGGCTCCCAAACAGGCACGGCTCTCTGTGTTGTTTTGCAAGCTATTTGAAACAACAAGCCTCATGCGCCTGATCCCCAGGCACAGCCGAAGAGGTGGCCTGGGAGCTCGCCAGGGAGGCACGGCGGCGAGGCTGGCCGCTGGAGCCACGAGCGCTGGACCTCCGCTTGAGCTGAAGAGTTCTCTTGTCATCACTTGCATCTTCGGAACACGATGGGACAGCAGTGCAGTAGGTTGTCGATCATTGTGTTTGGCTTTGGACGGGACACGCTTCACCTTGGGGAGAGGTATTGGCATGGGTGGGGGTGGAAGATTTTACTTGCGGAGGACGAGACAAGCCTCGAAGAGTGGATGCCTCAGGTCTCTGTGGCTTCAAGGGTGCCTGATGAAACCCAAGATGTCGGCCCCCAGCCATTTCAGTCTGGCTAATATATCTCTACGCTATGTCAACCAAACTGTCAGACGTGCTTCAAAACAACAGCGCGTCCTAAGCTTGACTGATGACGCCCAGGCTCAGAAAAACAAAGATTGGAATCTTCGTGGTCTCCACCACGGGACAAGGCAATGCATTTTTCTTGTTCCAGGGCCATTGGATGTAAAGATTGCATGGTATGAGGATGTCCCAACTGTTGCAGTTCCTGTGCCATGACAAGTGGCCAGCAGCCGGGTGAAAGGTGAAACTCATGGGCGAGATGGGATGTCTGGTCAACTTCTCGTTGGATGCATTGCTGTCTGCTAGGCGATCCGCCGCTGAACATGAGGCGGCTTTGGCAAGAGATGCTCTCGGCGTCATTGCCCCCAAGGTGCCATAGCCACAAGCTAACCCGTGAAGCGTATCTATAAGCCCTTGGCGCTGAGTGGTGAGGTTGCTGGCCCAATTGTCATACACAGTTTTCGGGCTTGGTGACCGTCGCTACCGTGAGTTCAACTACGCTGCGCCCCGGTCTGATAGTCTCCAGATAGAGTTGTAGTTCGGGCACTGCTAGCAGCTATGCTGGCGGATCAGCTGGACCAACAGGCACGGAAGCTGCACGCGCGGCTCGAAAATTTGGGTGCCAAGTCCTTCCATCGCCTTGGCCTGGGGGATGACCAGCATGACTTTGGTGCTGAGCTAAGCATGCGGCTCTGTTTTCGCCACGATGATTACATCCCATTGTTTAGGCACGAGTTGTAATTTGCATGTGACAAAAGGTTCCTAGTGGGTCCAGCTACAGATGTGCTATTCGTGGCATGGGCAGAATTCAGTCTCGGTCAAAGTTTGCCAAGGCATGGAGCAGGAGCTTGTTGCTCGGCTGCAGGCTGCAGGAAGTGTCTGTTGCTTAGTTAGTTTTTGCCATTCCTCTTATGAAGGGCGTCCTCGAAAGATTCCTGGAACTCATGCCAGACTACTGCATGCTTTGCTTCCTGGGCAGGACCCTTGGGCAGAAGGCTTGTGGACTGCATTGGCAGAACTACAGTCACCGGTGATGCCTTCAGATGATGAGGGCGACGTGCGATACGAGGCTTCCAGTGGAATCAGCTTCCGAGACTCATGAGACTCGACTATTTCCTTGTTGCAGCAGGTCGAGGAGATGGGCGATGGATACAGCAACGGGGGTGGCCACGACGTGGACGTCCAGGCTCGATTGGAAACGTGTGACAAGTGCTTCTAGAGATGCTTTGATCACGTAACATGTCCCTCTCGGAGCATGTCAGCAGAAGCCCATGGCTTTGAGCTTGAGGACCTTCCACCCGACGGCCGCCTGGCGCAGTTGATGCACCTTCGAACATACACGCCTGCAAGAAAATGTGCTGCGCTGCTTCTGACTGCCTCGGGGCCCCAAGGCATTGCCGCAGAGGTGGTTGCAAAGCGCAGCTTGTGCAGCGACAGCCATGCAGCAGAAGTCCAAGATGTTTGGAACATTCGACTTCGCTGCGGGGACGGAATTAGCAAAGCAAAGTTGGGATCGATGCTGGGGTTAAGATGAAGGGGATCTATGGGATGCATAAGAGGAGCGGTAAGAATTATTAACAACAGGCGACCCCCCCCTAACACCAGACTCTGCGTTTTTTTTTCTCTTTTTCCAAGCTTGCATTGAGGAACATGTTTGCAATCACGGGCTGGGGGTAGGGGCAGGGTCATAAATGATCATATGGAGAGCAAGGATTGTGGCCTTAATATGCGCTTGTCTGCTCCGGTTTTGCTTGGCATGCTCAGATGATTTTCTGCTTGGCGTGCCACGCTATTTGCAGCCTTGCTTAAAACTGACCCAGGGCTCCCTGCCACAAAAGCATATGCAGCTGGAGACGTCCTCGTGGCACCCTGGCCGAAATTCACCCGCAAGATGTCTGCGACCTTGCTATTATGGAAGTTTGGCTTCATAGAGCACGCGGCGTCTCCATTTCAGACTGTGCAAGTGTCCTGTATACTCAGTGCTTGGAAGCTTGGAAGGTGTGGCCGAGAACGCAGCCTAGCCTCGTTGAACGTTTTGTCGTGGAGACTCTGGAGCGCTCTTTGGGGGAATATGTGCGCATTCGACCGCGGCGCAGCCCTGCTTGGTTGGACTTAGGCTCTGGGTTCAGGAGTCACCCTCACAGCTTATAATGTATTACTATAGTACTATAGAGTGATTACAGTATTGTGTTATGATAGTACGGCTTAGAATTATCATAGAATTAATCGAATTGTATGCTTTCAGTTGGCCCAACTTGGAGTAGGGAAGGAAGGACTGGCATCTCTATGTAGCGCTTGCAGTGGGCCTTGTGAAAGGAGTCATGGAGTGTCATCCTTTCGAGACTTTGCAGGCGAGCCACTTTTTTTTGCGCTTGTCTACCGATACTTAAATACGGAAATAACTCCTGGGATCTCTTGGGATGGTTTCCGAAACGTGCTTCTCGCTGTGCTCGCGGAAGCTCTTGCGGAAGC